GGGTGGGGGATAAGTGAAAAGAGAGGATACCTCGTAGTCTAGGGTTGGATCGAGCCCAACGGAAGCCCTAATCTCCCGTTCCTCTCGATCTCCATCATCCTCAAGATCGTATTCTCCACCGCCACCTTCTTCGTCCTCCTCGTCATCATCGACCTCGTCGAGATCGTCCTCGAACCTCCTCTCGCGGTCCCTCCTGGCGCTCTTCATCTTCTTGGCGAAGCACCCGCCTTCCTCGAAGGCGGAGGCGCAGGGATCGCCCTCTCGGTCGCGGCCATCGCCGCTCTCCCTGTTCCAGCGCTGCCGCTCGACCTCCCCGCCGACCACCGACCAAGACGACTCCGGGAAGTTGCTATCCGGCACGGTCTCGAAGAGGCGAGACCCAAAGAGCCGCTTCACCCGGGCGTCGAAGCTGTCGTCCATGGCGAGACCCCCAACGATCCACTATCGGCGGTGTTACACGAAGACGGGCACCGCCGTCTTGTTCCCTATCTATTGCTTCTACGACCTCGTTCGATGCTTCGTTCACATCGAGAGATTGGTCGTCCCGGGTCGGCTTGGTTCGAGGATGTGGTGGGAAAACGCCGGTCTTTAATGTGCCATGAACCGGAGCCCGGTTCAGACAGAGCATCTCGGCCCATGGCTTGGGTTGGGCTTTGGATGGCTCACAACCTATCTTAGTAAAATCATAATAAATATTTTTAGGAGATTACTGTGGGCACTTTTTATAATTTATTGAATATAAATCCTTAATTATTACTCATACTCTCCCAAAATACAATATTTTCTATATTGATATAAAATTGACCTAGAAAATAACATTTATAATTGTCAGGAATATCTTCGAAGTTAGCCTGACGTCTTTAAGTCTTATAAATATTAAATTAATCTAAAGAATTATTTTGCATCTCATCCTATTTAATATTTACATTATCTCATATAATGCGGCAAATGGAAAATTTTGAGCTATTTAAAATGTCAATAAATATGATTTATTGGTCAGGAAAGTGCAGCACACTTAAAACAATTTTTGAAAACAAGAAAAATACACCGAAAATAAATAATATTATCTCGCTTGGGCTCATTTCTCCCTCTAATTTTGTACAACCAGAATCCTGCGATTTCTTCTGCCAGGTCTGCTGTGGGCTCGTCGCCATGGCGAGCGCTTCCGGCCCTCCGGCGATGGCGCTGCAGAGCTCAGAAATGCTCTCGAGAGATCAGCTTCTCCACCTCTTCGCCCGCTTCGACTCCCTCACCTCCCAACCTGGTGCGTCTCCCCTCTTACTCGTACCGCTTTCGTGCCCTTCCCATCGCCCGTTTAATTTCTTTTTCCTGTTCGATTTGGCTCTTCAGATATCAAGAGACGGATCGCAGATGCCGTGAAGGACAAGCAGGTGCTAATTTGTCGCAGCCATTTGCTTCCTTCCCTGTTAATTTTTCGACCCATCTTTTAAATTCTGTACCATTTTGTTCAGAATATAGACCTATTTCTTCCAACACTGATCCAATTGCTATTCTAAGCTAAAACTCGTCATGGTGGATTCCAAAATTATGTATATATTTTTCTCTCTCTTGTTTTAGATTGATCCCATCATCATTGATTCGAGGACCAATTTCTTTCTCTTTTCCTGCACGTCATTAACATCTGCAGTTTGGTACTCTCGGTCTATTTGGTGCCCAATCATATGTGAAAGCTTATTGATGTGCTTGACGGCATCAGAGATCATATGTTATGTTTAGGACTAATAGTATTTTCGTTTGTGGAGAGAATGGAATTCCTAATTGCTCACAACTACTTCTTTTTCCCTTGCGAAAAAAAAAAGCTACTAATTGTCATTTTTTGAAGTAGCACATTGAACTTCTGGAAATATGCAGTTTAAAAGGTATTAATAATTGTAGATTTTTTCACATTACTGAAGAGAAATAGCTTATTTATCTCCAAATCTTGTTGTTTTCCCCTCGCATTGACATCCCTTTTCTCCCTTTGTTTCCGATGGATGAACTGCTTATGGTCCATCAGTGGAAACAGTCCATGAGAATGTGCTAGACCTATGGACTTTCATATTGTAAGCTAAGTAATTTAGATCTAGCGAACCTTATGATGGCCAAGTTAAATCGCTATATTAGAACAATGTCTGATTAACCTCTTTATGTTTGAAGTTGTGTCATTTTGGGAAAACTATATTGCGCAAGATTTTCTTTCTTATACTTAATTAGACATCAACATGCAGTTCATACTATTAGCCTGTGCACACTATCTAAGATAGAGGATCATGTATGGTTTTTTCTTATTATGCTCTTTATGAGTTTGAATAATGGAGTGACTTTATCTTTATTGTCCAACTTATCTCATCACTTAGGCAGAACTAGGAAATAACAAGCATGATTATTTTCTCAGGAGGCAGTTGCTGTGACCACCGCAATCCAAGAGGAAATACTTCTTGAAATGGGAATTGGTTAGATACTGCCCTTTTATATCAGTATGGCAACCTTTGAAAAGTTATTATTATAGTATGATGGACTGGAACCTTCATAGGTATCTAATTTTGGGTCCATGGAAAATTAATTCATAGCACATGTATGATTTTTTCTTCTTTTTGTCATTTTTCACTTCTGCAAATGCACTTGTGTATGTATGTTGTTCATGCTTCATTGTCCTTTTAGGCTATATGCACATCAGTCTTTGAAATAGTACTGATTGCATATACTTCTCCAATAGCTAGTACTTCATATAACTAACTCCATCATATAGCCTGCTGTCATGCATATCAGTCCTATAATTTTGTACATTTTCTGATCCAACTTCAGTTAAACCAATGAGTTATGAGAAGGTGCAGTAATTGATATGGATTCTCTGCAATACATTGTCTTCCCAGAATTTGGTGTTTAGCTAGAATTATTTGTCGTAATGTTTTCATTTATGTAAAAGTATAGCCTATATCTTTTGTTATGAAGAAATGAGTTTATCTGGTTTGTGGTTTTTTTTCGTAGTTGTTACTTCCATGTTTTGCACAATTAATTCTTCCACAACCACAAGGTTTTGACATATCAGCTTAACATGATGCAGATCCACGATTTGGAATCACTTGCTTAGGGAAGGTGAATGCCATGTATGAGAATGACATGGATTTGATGATTCAATTTTATCGATTTGTTGCAAAGTATGAATTCTCATAAATACATTCTCTTACTATTTGAAGGCCAGATTTCTCTTCATGAATTTTAGATTCTTTGGTTCCAAGTATTCATTTGGTGAAATGGTATTTTCTTTTTTGCTTCACTTGTTTTACTTAGTTGACATTGGCAACAATTAATCACTAAAATGTTGCAACTGACATGTTAGAGAAAGCTCATATCACTTCTACAACAGAGGCTTTTAGATACATCATGTCATATTGCAGGAAAATCAACTTTTTTCTGCTCTTATTTTCCTGGCTTTCTACATTGGTGTCTAGAAAACTAAGTAAACAAAGGTTTAATGCTGCATATGGCTCTGATTTAATTGAGATAAGGCTTAAGAAGTATATTTCTCAGTAACCTTTATGCGAGCTAGAGGCGTGAATAATTTGGCAGCATCATATATCTTACATATTACATATCATTTTTGTGCATAATTGGAAAGTGGTGTGGTTAGTGAAAGGTGTAGGGTTTCAACCACCCATGTCACATCATCTTTCCTTCTTACAAAAAGCAAAAGTAAATTAATCCTCATTTTGTCAACAAATAGACTCCATAGGTAAAAGTAATTCAACAAATAAGCTTCCACATTTTGTCATAAATTAATTCTTTCCATACACAATGCTAGATTACATTGCGACCCTATGGTCAATTTGTTTCAAACATCCTGTTCCTCTGGTTGAATTTTTCATTAATTGGTTCGAGTATCTCTGATTTGCTATAACTCAAACAAGCATGAAAAGTATATTTGCATATTTGTCCATCGTCAAATCGGATATGTAATTATTGAAATAATTGTTGGAAACTCAATGATGGACATGCAAGCATGATAACTTGATTTATGCAGCAGACATCGGATAATAATTTTAATAACTTGCTGATTAGTAATATTTGGTGTAACCAAAAAACAACAGGGAAGAGATAGCCATTGATGAGGCTGAACTTGAGTGTAGTGAGTTTGAAGAAAAAATGCTGACTCAGCAGTCAATGCAAGAGCAGGTACGTATATCAATTCTGTTCATCTATGAATATCAATTAAAGTATGCATATCATTAGCATACTGACAGCATGCTAATGATTCCTTCTCAGCAACTCGACATGCTGAAACAAATGAGGAAGTATCATCCAGATGCTCAATCTGCGCTTCTTGAAGCTGTATGTGAATACTGATCTCTCTCTCTTCTCTCTCTCTCTCTCTCTCTCTCTCTCTGCAGTATTCATGTGCATGTTAGTATGCCTGTGTGCACATCTGCAAATACGTATGTAGTGATAGATGTTTGGACAGTCAGACTGATTCTCTGCAATCATACTTTCATAAGGCCAGTTGGACTACACTGGTTGCCTGCTTCACTACTCGCATGTTGATATTGAACATGTCAACTTCATACCAACATATTACAGGAAGTTTGTGCATCTAATATGCTGCCACTCAATATATTGGTCATTTTTTGTATATTTCATGTATTTCGTTTTTGGTGCAGCTCCATGAACAGTTGGATAAGGCTAACTTTGACAGCAGTGCTGCAATTCTGACATCGGATCAAATTGAAGAGATTGTTAGCAGAAGACAAATGGCTGCCAAGACATCCACGTAGGTCTTCCAGCTTTTATATTTTCTAGCCTTTATGGTTTTGTGAAGTACCAAAATCATGTTTATTTCTTAGAAATCTGTTGGTCAATCCCATACTTGTTATTTGCCGCTTGAAGATTGAATACAGAATTTACTTGTGTCTTTATTAAAATTTATGTTATAGCATGACGATGACTAAACTGCAGAAAATAATAATATCTTCATGTTTATGTTTTTTTTTTGTTTTATAAATGGGAAGCGAGAATTGTTCCAGGACTTTGGGACATTCTAACAATGTCATTATCATGTTGAACTTTCAATCTTTGAGAAGTGAGTTTTGGATGCCATCATCGAATCAATATTTTAGATATCATAATATTTTAAAAAAACATTTGTTAGATTGTGTTAATTGAAGGGTGTGTACGGGTACAATGTATGACTAGCCAAGACAATTGGACCAAACGCAGTTAAGTTGTAATCCTAACTGCATGTCTCATGATTGATAACCTTTCCAACATTTTCCTTAGGGTAGATCGTACAATATATTTTTACATCTTAAACATTGGTGTGATGATAGTGTATTAGAGGCCTTAGGATCGAATCTCGTCTTCATATTTATCCTTTGAAAAAAATAAAAAATAATAATGATCTATTTTATTTTGTGGTGCGTCGTATTGAGATGTTGGTTGCCTGTAAGAGATTTAGGTAGGAATCTTATATTAGGTCTTTTCAAAGTATCTAACTTAGACTTGGCTCTGGCATTTTTTATATTATTAATATTATGAAAGAATTTAATAAAGTAATTAGTTTTATCCATATTACTTTTTAGGCTAATTACCTAAAAAAATCATAGGTTTTGGCTTTGGACCAAAGAGCATCACTATTTTGAGGATCCTTCGAGTATAATGAATGACCTTTAGAATCTAAAATTTACTGAGGTGATCTTAGTTGATATACAGTAGCAATCCTTGAAGTTTCAACAACTTTGAATCATATATATTGACATATTAGGTTTTAATGCTTAATCTTATGGAAAAGGGTAAGTTTTTCAAAATGATACTCAAATGCATCACAATTGGGAGATTTTATGCCGACAACTTCCATTTGGCTTTTTTTATGCGTTGACTAGTTATTTACTTTTTAAAAAAATAGTTTATTTACCTTTGTAATGATTTTTAATGATCTTTAGTATCTCAAACTTAATGAGTTGACTGAAAAGGGCTAATAAATAATGTAAAGTGATTTTATTTTATTTTCCCTTAATATATAATGCTTGTAACTTTTATAATTAAGATACAAAATAGGATTTTAATTTAAAATTTAAATTTGTTTATTTTATAAATTCGGCTCATTCATAAATTTTTTAGAATTAATATAGATTTTATCAATTACATTGTTTTATAAATACATATTATTCTACATTTTTATGTAAAAATACGTCTCCGTGAGTGTATGTAACCATAAAGACATTAAGAATCCAAAGTTTAATTTATGTTGTTTACTAAATTAAATTTATAAATATATTATTCATAAGATTAAACCATGTTCAAGACAAATTAAGGGGAAAAAATAAAGAAAAATAATGCCACTAAATGACCTATTCAACCTCCTAATTCAACATCCAACACTGTAAGAAGTCGCCTGCGAACGATACCCGTCCGTCCGATCGGAGAAAGTTTGTGAATCTTAAAGCAAGCAATCATCCCCTTCCGGCTTCAAGAAAGGCGCACGCGGTACTACTACTACAACGGCAACATTAATATAGAAGAAGGCGAAAGATGAGGAGAAAGAGAGATCAACAGAAGGTGTCGGCGGCAATGGCGGACGTGTCGTTGGCCGGCGGGATCTTGAAGTGCCACAGCCGCCCCGTGCCGCCCACCCGGTACTTCTCGCAGAGGAACTCCATGGCGAACGACTTCTCCACCCGACGGTCCACGTCGTGGAGGAACACGTCCGTCTCCCCCTCCCCGCGCCGCCCCCGTGCCATAACAGCCGCCGAGTAGATCGCCGCCATCCGCCCCGGTGCCTCAGGGAAGTACCCCTTGGGCGCGTCGATCATCAGCACGTCCCATTCCCGCTCGTACACCTCCCCCGGCAGCCCCACCAGCGCCAGCGGGCACCCGCCGTTGTGTTGCAGGCCCTCCACCCCGTCCACCCGGCCGGGCCGGCACTCCGCGTTCTTGCGGTAACCCCGCAGAAGCTGCTCCGCTTGCGACAGCTGGGTGCGATACTTGACGTGGTGCGCCCGCAGCTCGGGCGAGTCCTTCTTTACCGCCGCGTACCACTGCGGATCCTCCTCGAGGAAGATGGTGGTGCCTCCGGGGTTCAGGGCCGCCCACATCTGGGAGTCCCGTCCCAGGCCGAAGACCAGGAAGTTGCAGGGGGAGCGCCGTCGGAGCACGTCGAAGGACAGCCGGATCTCGTCTCTGGACTGCTGCGGCACCACCGTGGTGGTGGCGTAGTAGAGGAGGGCCTTGGCGAGTTCGGACGTGGCGTCGGCCGAGCGGGAGAAGCCAGGATTGAGCGAGCAGTGGAGGCCGCGGTCGAGGAAGCTGGAGACGAGGAGCGCGCTGGCGACGAGGGTAGCCCCCGCGGCCGCGGCGAACAGTGGCTTCTCCGGCAACGCCCGCATCGCCTCCCTGATCGATCTTTTACCCATGCAACTACAACAACGAAGAGGGATATGCTTCCTCTTCTTCTTCTTCTTCTTCTTCTTCTTCTTCTTCTTCTTCTTCTTCTTCTGCTGCCGCTGCTACGCCCTTTTATGTGCTCATCTACTGCAGCGGAAGTCAAGTCTACGAGATCAGCTTTTCCCGGCCGCAAACGGAGAACGCACCTCGTTCACCGGGAGGATCGGGTCACCGCGCCTGGATGCGAAAAGCCGGTGGGGCCTTGAACGGACGAGTGAGATCAGGACACGTGGTTCCCTTCGATCTCGTGATTGATGCCAATCACCGGTCCCCATAATTCCCTACCGATTTTAACGTCCGCTAATAAGGAAAAAAATCGATGCATTGCATATTAGTAATAATACCGCTTCTTATGATCTCATTAAATTGGATATATTTCGTAGCCAAATTCCTCTCGGTCAATATGACCAAATGTACAATGATAAGATGCCATACGAACAGCATACGGATGGATTAGCAAAGGAAATGTGGCTTGGCATCTCATACGGGTGGGTCGATTGGGATACGTTATTAATAGACAGGGATTTAGGTTGCTACGAGATCATTAATGGTCGGATCGTCATTGATGCTGATGTGACATCATTATCGTAATTTTGTATATAATCGGGATAGTGTTAGAGATAGAGATAAGCTTTAATTTATCTTTTTTTTATTGATTTTCCTTTTTTCCTCCTTGGATAATATAGGAAATTGAAGTAGAAATATTAGAGAAGTTGTCATGTATGACATTTGACAGAATATTCTCTAAAATAATAATATTTATTTAAGTAAAAAATAATCAAATGTATCAAGTCGGTAAAGATTGTAATAATTATCGTAAGATTTTGAATTTGAATCGTGTTTAGTCTTTTTAAAGAATAAAGATATAGAGATAGTCCTTTTTTTCTTTTTTTTATTATATCATATTATATATTATTTATCTCTATTGGTTCAAATGGGATATCCCATTAAAATATTAGTGAAATAATTAATAATTGAGAGATAACATATTCTATCATTTTGTTTAAGTCACATGAACCAATCAATGAGATATTATAGACATGTAAATGATAAAAAAAAAAAAAGAATATAAGTTTAGTTCTCCCTTATACTGTTAGGAAAAGCTCGAATGACCTTTGGCTAAATGGTACTTATATTCGAAATCGACACAGGTGAGTAGGTAGAGAATATATAAAGGCATGAGATGACTCTCTCTAAGGAACTCAACAAAATAGCCATGTAACTTTGGGAGAAGGGTTGCCTCCTCACAAAGGGGGTCGTAGTGACAAGGGCAAGACGACTGGTTACCAAAAACATAGGTCTCCACAAAGTTATAAGACCATAAATGGGGGCTGACGCCTACCAAGTGTCGGAAGGTTCAGGAAGTTAGTGACTTGATGATAGGAGAACTAGTGATCGAAGCCCCGATGAATAGCGATCGTAATTATAATGGTCCTAAGGTAGCGAAATTCCTTGTTTGGTAAGTTTTGACCTACACAAAAGACGTAACGATCTAAGTACTATCTCGAAGAGAGGATTGGTGAAATAGACATATATGTGAAGATGCATCCGTCTCACACTTGGAAAAAAATATCCTATGAAGCTTTACTATTCCCTAGAATTGGCTTTGGGCCTTTCTTGTGTAACTTAGGTGGATGGAGAAGAATATCTCCTTTTGAGGGGGGTGGGGGGCTCAAGCTTACAAATCAGTTTATTATAGATCTCGGATCCGACGACGATATGCTTACAAATCATATAAACACTTTCTAATAAACATTAAACAAATTATAAATTAGAGATATATTATTATTTGATTTTAGATTTTGATATTATTTTTTTTTTCATATAATAAAAATAATAATGTATTATGATTCTTATGCTTACATTATTCTCCTTCTTTTTTGCTCCTTAATTTTTTATTATATCATGTTATATATTGTTTACCTTTATTGGTTCTAATGAGATATCCCAACAAAATATTAGTGAAACATAAAAACTAAATGTAGTTCAAATCTTTACGCAACAAATTAGTGACGCGTTTTCTCGAAGAAATACGAACTCCTGAAGCGTACCAAATAGAAAAGGGTTGACTCGATCGATGCAGTCTTCTTTTCTTCTCATTCTTTTGTTGGCTACTTAGAAACACGACGACTGTATAAGAAGAGAATGAATGGTGGCTTGGAATCTAAGGCACCGAGAAGTACATGAAATCACGTGCATGCACTCACTCCCATGCAAAGTATTGACAGGCCAAATGCGTTAAGCAACATGCATCGAAAGAGAGAGAGAGAGAGAGAGAGAGAGAGAGAGTAAAAGTCTTCATGAACATGTTTAACTATTGAATCTTGTCAGTAGGTAGAATGTAGAATGAGATTGAAGGAATGAAGGAATAAGGATTACCATTACTACTGCTACTGCTACTGATGTGGAATCTCGAGGCGAACCTTTACTTAACTTGCACTCTCGCGTGCATGATGACGAGACTACAACAGTGTTGACGAGATTACAAGTTTGCATGCATGCATTGATTTCTTAATGGCATCACAATCAATGTACATCGAAGCTGTTGTCACCATTTAGTTTCACTTAATTCATCTTATTAAGTAAAAATAATGACATGTTAGAATGGATTCATTTTGTTACGTGCATAAAACAATCGATTGATGACCATATCGAGCCTCATTCATATTAGGATGAAGAGGGATCAAGAATTTTTGCGATTGACCTAAATGTGTTATTGTTTAACTAGAAGAATTCTATAATCATATTTGCAATAGTTCTTTTTCGACCTCTTGTAGGTAATCTAAAAAAAAATTATATTACATCAAATAATGTTGATGCTCACATATGAACTCGAACCTAAGGCCAAATGTCTCAATAGAGATTAATCGCCTGATCTTTGATTGTGAACTTTTCTTTTCCTCCAAATAGTACGAAAAGTAAGTCTTGATCTTAGTGTTATGTAGTGATTTGATCGTCTTTATCGGTTAAATTGGTTAGCATCTTGTAAAAGCTTATCGGATGAGGTTTTGAATCTTAAATATTTGATAAGTGTATTTGGTACACCATCACCAAGCTAGCCTGTGTTAAGAAAATAAAAGAACTTCAAAGATGTTAATCAAAACAATATTTTGTTCCTTCATCTTGTAATTTTGGATTAGGACCATAATAAACCTTCAAGTGGTTAACAAAAAGCAACAATATGTTCTTCCATCTTGTATAGTTTGTGTGGCATTAAATGGGTTTTAGTTACATGAATTCTTGATTCATTAGTAATTTCACCTCATCTTAATTACAAGGATTATATATCTCCTCAAAATATATTAATACCATTTTAATTGATTCTCACTTCTTTTATTATGATTGTTCCCGAATAAAAATATTTTTTTATTTTTCTCTTCACATATCCACTGGAATATCTAACTAAGATTTTTTTTATACATTTTGCCTTTTGAGTGCCTAAATTAAGATTCATAAACTGACAACTATCCTATAATAATCTCTAAAAGTAAAAAGGTTACCTAATGATCACATAAAAACATTGGATGCCTCTCTCTATCAATGATGTAGTCATCAATCTCTTCATTATACTAAATAATTGATTATAAAACTTTTGCTTACTATAATTTATTATTTATTCATCTTATCTACAACTTTATTTTGTTACTTAGCATTACTAAAAGAACATCTAATATAAGTCATTGTTATCATGCTGATAAGAAATGTGTCATGCTTGAATTCAAATGACCTAACATAGATGAAGTTGACATGCACAACAGTATAAAGAAATATTGCTTATCTTACATCGAGTTCAAACAAGCTATTACAGCAATATTCCATCCCAAGACATCATTTTTAAGATGCGAAAATATAAAGATTTATTTTAATGTAACACCCATTTAATCCTACATCGAATATTAGAAAAATATTTGAATTGATTTACGAACACTCGGTGAATATAATATATCATTAACTATGACCTAAATATTTTTGATCGATAATTTAGATTTAATGAATCATTTCTCGCACTGGATTGAATTATAATAAATAATATTAAAACCAACTTAATATTGAATAATGCAAGAGATACTCATGCCATGGTGGAATGAAAACTCTTCCACTTACAAATATAATAAAAGGAAAAATATCCTAACCCCACTATCCAAAAGATGTCTATATATTTCCATGTACATGGAATGGACTTATAAAAGTGTAAGTGGGATTGGCTTTCTTGTCCCATAGCTGAGAAAAATAAAGATGAACTGAGAGAATAGGCAAGGCCTATACATGCAAGTCTCAATCAAGGTGAGAAGAAAGGTGGGACAAAATCTTGTGTATATCTTGGACAGATGGAGAACATTTGACTCAATTAAGCATTAATGATAGCATTTGTTTAATGTCACTGAGATGGGATTAAACCACTTGTAATTAAAGAGGCCAACTACTCCAATCTCCCAATTGAAAGAGGTGTTTCAACTAAGAGATAGGATAGCTTGGTCAACCTTGGTTTGATGTAATGGCAAATGGTTTCTACATGTATGATTGAATTAGTAGCATGTAGTTGTCAAGGAAGACAGCAAAGTGGTGATAAGGTGCCACGAGATCCCATAGCATGTTAAAATATATGGTTTGCCTACAATAGGGAAAGTGTATTGTATTAGATTATGACTCTCCTCAAAACATGTGTTATCTATTATTGACTATAATGAGATGCGACAATTTTATCCCCATCCCTAAGATTTGCATTTGGGTTGCTTGAGAACACTTTAGCATTCACAGTGTGGATGCATAAGAGGACAGGTATCATTGAAGGTATCCAACAATCAACTTCAAGAGAGATGATGGTAAAATGGAGCTCTAATCATGATTAATATCAATGCCAATCGAGTAACTATGTTATTGATACCATCGATATTTTTTATCAGTTGGAGTTCGACACGTAAAATCTAATCGGTCCGAATATGATAATACGTTTAGGTATTTGTTAACACAATCAACCTTAGAAAACAAACACTATATAAAATGGCTTTTCCAGGTGTATTTTCACTATAAACTCATCGAGTTAAATCGAAATTCTCGAACTTCTTATAGATCACAAATAACTAAAATTAATAAGATCATCTTTTCAAATGCAATCTTGACTTTTTTATAGGAATAAGCTAAAATAAAATAGAAGATATGGTATACGAGTATCCTTTGTAGTAGAGAGAAAGTGATTCTCATATAGAGTTGTCTCAAAAAGAATTTTTTCTCATTCAGATATGATAATACTTGAAAAATAGGTTAGGTAAAGTTAATCTTATTAAATTGGATCAAAGTTAAATGTATTAGCTACTAACATTAAAATTATCCAAGAAAGCATACCTTATATCCCCACACGAGAACAAGTCCAAATATAACTTATGTTGGTCGTAAGATCTAAGAACGATCAATAAGTAGAGAGTCTATTTTCACTATTAAAACATGTCAGTGATTAGCACTTGTATCGTTAGATCTTTATCCATTATTTTTTTGATTTTTGAAAAAATTATAATTGATTATCAAACACCATGGAGTAGTTAGATATTACAAAAATGATGACATGGCTATGGTCATAAAGAGCCCCGTGACAAACCAAGAGGAGTATAGCCACCTAAATTGCCACCCCATAATCCCTATCTTATGAGACATCTAAACCTTTACTCGGTCCTCTATCTAATCCATACTTATCCTACCTTTGTTTCTTTAGGTTTACTAGAGTTATATATTCACATTTTATAGGCATATAATTACTAATAATTTAAATTTTAAGTTACACAACTTATATGTTACTAATATGTAATTTGATAATAGTGTATCGGCATCAAACAGATGTATTTAAATATAAATTATATTTACAAAAAGTATTATACTTTTAAAATATTCTTTTATACAGATTCTAGATTTATGCGAGGAGAATTTTACGTACCAATCACGATATTATTCTCACAATATTACTTGTTTTGGCTGAATTATTCCCTCGATGTGACATGTTTGACGAACTCCATACATTATATCACATCATGACATGACCCTTTTGTTTGTTTAGGCCGACGTGACACAATGCCGGCGCCTAACGACATGTCAATACACGAGATTGTTCTATCTGCCTTGCAATAACATATAGATGGCGATAACTTGGTTCATTAGGACACTACCCACCATCCACATCTCACTAGAATTGATGTCCCCTATAATAATGTTTCTTACGTTCTCTTGCTTAGTTCTTCCCACTAACGCTCATGAAGGATTCCACGTCTCTTCATCTACGACACACTTTCTAGAGGATGTAATAATTCAATCTAATCCTTGATTATTTAATGTTGTTTCTCGATCATGTATCTCTTCTAGTGTTCATAGGAAGCTTGAGGTGACACGAAAACTAGCCGTCATGTAAGAAGAGAGAGAGAGAGAGAGAGAGAGGCTATATGACATGCAACACCAACAATAGTAATTAATTTGAGGTTTTTATTAGCTAGTAGGGGGTGGAATGAACACATATTGGGTGAAATCTTCCTACCATGAAGACGTATACGAATTAAACATTGTTTTTTTGATGTGACGTGCACGTTATCATTATTTTTTTGGAGTCAAAAATGGTGGTCATCACATCTGATGTGATTGACGTGTGTTAGATGACTTCCTATTCTCAAATTACCTCTTCTCATTCGAAGAAGACAAACCAAATGTGATCGAGTATTTGGATTTTACTTATCGTAAAATTTAAGTTAATATTCGATCAATCAGTCGTATTTCAACGGATTGAGAGTTTATTTTTTTTTGGATTATAAGTTTTATCTTACAACATAGTAAAATATTAAATTTATATGATGTGATATCATAAATAGGATGTTTTGATTTGCTTTGACACAAAAGATAATCGTATCTCTTCGATATAATAAGTAAATATTAATGATATGGAAGTGTCTACGAATGAAGCTTTTACTTGAAATGATATCTTGATATAATCGATCTATAGAACACTAGACATGCTTGTTGCTATATCTTGTGTTGGGAAAACATGATGAAGAGTTTCCACACTTGCCAATCTCGTGAAGCTATGAAACCCTAAAAGCACAACACAAACTTAGCCAGCTTATGAGAAGCCATTGTCTATTCCTTCCATGGCTTTCTTCTGCAATTCTCCTGCTACAATGGAGCTGTCATGGTCTACAAAATAGAGCAGCCACAGATAGAGAGAGAGAGAGAGACACCCTAATAAAAGTGCACTTGGTAGGAGGTAGCAATGCACCTGAGCCCAAATTAGAGTGCCATTAATGATCTGTGCTCACAAACTCCTGCATGCATGCATGCCTTCCTTTCCTTCTATTTTAGATCGAACAGCTACAGAACCACCCCAGTTTGGAAGAAGTCCTACCGCTGTTGTAGCCCAAAACCTGATGTCTAACAACCTCTTCCTCCTAAAACGAAGCCTGCCTCTCTCTCTCTCTCTCAAGCTTACAATAACTATGATTATGATGTGGAGAGACTAAATGAAGGAAAAAGGAGAGGGAGAACAGTGGTGGTGGGATGCCAAAGGCATATGATATTGTGGTTACATGTGACGTGAGGCTTTGGGAGCTTTGAAGCCTTTTGGTTGAAGCGTGCTCCCGCGGGAAGCCACCGGTCAACGCATCGCTGACCGTGCGTTACGCGGACATTTCCGTAATTACGTGATGGTCGAACCGTCATTTCGGCTCCCTATTGCTATAAATGTGAATGGCAACTGCGTCTACCTCGCTTTGCCCTGAGACGCATACTTCGCCTTCGCGCGGAAGGCTGCTTGATTGGAGGGAGAGAGAGAGAGAGAGAGAGAGAGAGGCATGCGGACGAGGAGAGGCCTCTGCTACCCCAGGCCGCAGTGGGCGGTAGAGGAGGAGGAGGAGGAGGAGGAGAGCAGGAGTAGGAAGAGGAGGCGGTGGCTCCCGGTCGGAGGAGACGACTCCGTGCCGGGGATGGCGGCGGAGAACCCCGCCGGAGACAGGCCCGACTTCTTCGACGGCCTCCCCGACGACCTCGTCGTTTCCATCCTCTGTAAACTAAGCGCTTCGGCCGCCTCCCCTTCCGATCTCGTCAGCGTGCTCATAACGTACTACTCCTCCTCTTTTTCCTGTGTCGGCTAGATCTTCCACTCATTTACTTCGGCTTTCGTGATAAAGTCGAATTGGATGTGATAGATGCAAGAGACTGCACGGATTGGGAACGAATCCGCTGGTTCTGTCCAAGGCCTCGGCGAAATCGCTTGCGATCAGAGCCAAGAACTGGTCGGAATCCACGGACAGGTTCTTCAAGCGGTGCGCCGACGCCGGAAACCTCGAAGCTCGCTATATCCTGGGCATGGTAAGCCTCGTCTCCCCTGTTTCATCTTTTGTTTTGGGGGGGCGGGGGGGCTAAAGGAGAGATTTTGAACAGATCCGAGTGTAAAGATTCGATCTTTGTTTTGATTTGTGGGTACTTGGTTTCGTGCAGATCCGTTTCTACTGCCTTCAGGACCGCGCGAGCGGTGCGTCACTGATGGCGCAAGCGGCGATGGGCTCCCACGCGGCGGCTCTGTACTCCCTTGCAGTGATCCAGTTCAATGGCAGCGGCGGATCCAAGGGGGACAAGGACCTGCGCGCGGGGGTCGCCCTGTGCGCCCGGGCGGCCTTCCTCGGCCACATCGACGCGCTGCGGGAGCTCGGCCACTGCCTCCAGGACGGCTACGGCGTCCGCCGCAACGTCGCCGAGGGCCGCCGCTTCCTCGTCCAGGCCAACGCGCGAGAGCTCGCCGCCGTCCTCAGCGCCTCCTCCGCCCCACCCTCCGCGTGGCACCACCACCACCGTCACTTACTCGCGTCGGGCTGCTCCCTCCTCAGCGACTTCGGTTGCAGCTTACCGGCCCCGGAGGCGCACCCGGCCAACCGGTTCATGGTGCAGTGGTTCGCCTCAAATGGGACAGGGGGCGGCTCGGGGGACGAAGGGCTGAGGCTCTGTTCCCACCGCGGATGCGGCCGACCGGAGACGCGACGGCAGGAGTTCCGCCGCTGCTCCGTATGCGGCGCGGTCAACTACTGCTCCAGGGCGTGCCAGGCGCTCCACTGGAAGCTGGCCCACAAGGCGGAGTGCGCTCCCACGGAGCGGTGGCTCGACGCTGGCGGTGCTGGTGAGGCGGTCGTGATGGATTGAGTGCCATCCGGCGCTTCAAAGGTCCGGTCTTTTTTTGTTGGGTCTCTCGTTACTGTTTTCCTCTCCGTTTTTGTACATTAGGCCAAAACAAAATAATAATAATAATTTTCAAAATACATAATTCTTTAGTAAAAAGAGAAAAAATAACATAATGCAATATCGATCATATTCAATTAAAGTTTAATGGGATGTGGTTAGATATGAATGCACACATAAAATATGCGTGTCGAGAGAAGGACGCGTGCGTGCGTGACTCGAGAAGCAGCTTTTGTTTTGGTATTATTGATGATGATGCTTCGTGTGATGTTTCCCGTGACCAACCTTTTTATGGTCACACGCGGTGGACCAGATTAAGTCACCTTTGCGTTGGGGTTAAGCTTGTGGTAGGTACTCTGCGGCTGGCTAGAATAAAGTGCTCTCCTCTCTCTCTCTCTCCCTCTACCTCTCCCTCTCCATAATTTACCGGAGTGTCACGGACAAATTTCGAAACAGTATGTTTGATGTAATGCTTATGTATGTCTGTGTCTTTTGGCATGTTCATACCTTGTACAATATATAGAGGGGCAGCCGAAGGTTTAATAGTCTCATTTTAGTTGGGTTGGTGGCCTCTTTAGGTTTGTAAATAAAGATTGTGTCATGTGGACACGTGTGAGAGATTCTCGGTCTGTAATGGATCATTTTACCCTTTGTTGTGCCACTGTTCAGAGCTTGTAAAGTTTGTTTGTAATTTGCATTGTCCATGAAGTATTTTTCAGAGATGTTTGCTTGTGGATCCTAATTGAGGCATTCTCTCTAGCTCGTTCTCTCTTTTGTTGGTCCTAAGGGACAATGAGAGACTTCGGGGAGGCTGACCTTTGCGGACGGACACGCAAGAGTGCCGTACGACTTAGGCAAAACCAGCTAAGTCGGTGACAGGAGGATAGCGAAGATGATCAAACCATTTCGAACTTTGACGCACTCTTGCCATATACCAACTGGACAAGGCAGCTGCACCCATACTTGAAGGACGTCAAGGACTGGTGTTCTACGTAAGCGATGAGCGCCATGAAGAATCCTGAGCGTTGGATGAACTCACGTCAGTATTATTGTCCGTCTGGCTTTTTGTTCTCGTGTTGGCTTCCTGTGAAGAAGAACGCCGGCGTCGTCGACTCAGGTTGGGGTGTCCTCCCTGCGTCGCCACACGTGCCGTGCCGAGACACACGTGTGGAGATCACAGGGAGAATGGCCGGGACTTAATTGGTCGATTTGTTTGTTCTCGAAAGGTGGCAGATGGGACGGACCGAAAGCGTTGGAAGTCGAACGCAAGTGAACAATTTTCTACTGTTGATGTTTCAGTGAATAGCAATTTAGTGATCGCTGTGATTCATAAGACAATTCGTGGCCAAATTAACTCGTCGAGTTGCTGAAGCTTTGAGCGGTGCAGTTGCTTGACGTAGCAGTGGTAGTATGCATGGGGAGATGTGGGAATTAAGTAGAGGGAGAAGCTGTCTCGGTCTCAGATTTGGATGTTGCTTGACGGACTTGGCCTGCTTGCTTCTTCGAGAGCTGCGTGATGGCACGTGCATGCATATTGCTTGGGGAGGGAGGCAAGGTGGGAGGCTTACGTGCATGAGAAGCAGACGACGTGAAGCAAACAGCGATCCGTAGTCCTGGGATCGGTTGACCTACGTACGTATATTAGTCAAGCAAAGTAGGTTTCGAATGGATAGTCTTCGGGTTGACCCGATTCATGATTTGATCCGATAGTTGGCGTGAAAATGAATCCGATTTCATAAATATATTATATTTATATATCAAATTTGGTTAACTATCACAACCATCAGAGTGGCGCAGCGGAAGCGTGGTGGGCCCATAACCCACAGGTCCCAGGATCGAAACCTGGCTCTGATAGTTATATTTTTCACTATTTATTATTATTTTTAAAATTAATATGTAATTGACGATCAAAATTAATCATAGAGAAATTATTGTTATTATTATGATGTAAAGGTTTTGCTCGCCGAACAACCATACGAAGTGGGCGGAAACAGTTGCCTCCGATCGAGAATCTTTCCCGTGCAGGGAGGGCCCAGCCCGTGTGTCCATCGCTGGGGTCCATTATCAGGTATGTCCGACGGGTGATAGGTGCATGGGTACGAAAATTATTGTTGTCTTGGTCGATGTCGGATAAGAGCGTCGCGATCGCCGGCCAGGGCGCTGCCGGTTGGTTCTCTGTATCTGCCCGCGATCGACGCGCGAGAGCCATGGATGGAGGCATGGAGAGCCCGGTGGGGAGATCACCGCGAACCCCGGAGGCGGAAATCGGGCACCGACTGGAGGATCTATGGGACGTACAGCAGCCGCAGCTCAGTCCCTCCCAGAAGCTCAACTCTTGCTTCGAGGACCTCCCCGTCTCCTCCTTCCCCGCCGCCCCGCCTTCCCAAGGTCCCTTTCTTGTCCCCCTTCTTCCATCTTCGCTTCTTGTCTTATCCTAGTCCTAATTCTTTAGTTTCCACAGCAGCTCTTTCGATCGTTCTTATTCGTTTTTCTTCTCTTAGTTAACAAGCTTGATTTGGTGCCAATAATTTGCAGTTAAGCGTCAGATTGGCTAAGAATGCTGGATTTCTGGGTCGATTTAGTTGATGAGGGCAATCAAAATGCCTCCTTAGAGTAGGCGGGCTTAGGATGCAGGCGTTTGACCCATATATTTGATTACAAAGGGTGGCAGTTATTAATACGCAGATGGGCGGAACTTTCCTGGATGTGTTTGAAGTTGTGTGTGATTTCTGAACTTGTTCTGACGTTCTAGATTACTGATCGATGTGTGATTGGGGAATTTGATGCGATTGGTGAGAGGAGCTGATACATCCTTGTGTGTCCAGAAGTTTGGCATAACTGGAACCTCTTGATCAGGAGTTATTGTTTTCCTCTTCTTGACCCATGAATGCATAACTTCGCTGTATTGGATTATTAATCTGGTAAAGTCAATTGGTTGTGAGGCTAGATGGTCTTGGTCGTAACATTAACAGTTACTTGGGGAGGTGGCTAGGACCCTATTGAACTTGTTGAAAGTTGTTTGGGACTTCTAACAAAGGAGAATTCTTGACAGAAGTTCGTTATTTACTTCCATGTTCGTATATCTAACAGATTTCACTTTGTTCAATCATTTTCCTTCAAGTTCGCAAGTGTTCATGAAATAGATGGTGATATAAGTGTTTAACACCAAGTTCTACTATTTTTATTGCCCATTATAATTGTTATAGCTTGTTACAATGGAACATGGGCCATCCTGTAGCTGTTAATTACTCTTTATAATAGGCTTATGATGGACTTGGAAGTTTCGGAGTTTGTTAAATTATTATGGTGGCTTTAGTAAATATGATAATTGTGAAATAGTATATAATAATTGCCTCTATTGATCTTAAAAGACTTTTACATAAATTAAGTTTAAATCATTGCCATATTTTTTTGACTAATAAATGATATAATAATTAATTCCAGAAGATAAAGCGAAAGTAAGTTTTATTCAAGTAGTTGCATGATTACTACTAACTGAATCCAACTTCAGATCTCTTGATCTGAATTATATTATAGTCAATTATGAATCAAACAACATGTACAAGCTAATGTCATCAAGATGTGAATATTGCCATAAATTGTAAAGTTACCAAAATAATGTAGAATTAGAAATGTTCTCATTGACAAACAAGTAGGTACAGCCTTGATACAAGATAAACTGAGGAAAAATCATGTAAGATGATATGAACATGTTCAAAGGAGAATTATAGAAACTCGTCAGATTCATTGAGTCGATTAGGATTAGTAATATAAGGAGAGATAGAGGAAGATCTGATAAGACTTTACTAAAAAGAATAAAAGTAAATTTAATTGCTCGAATTTAATTAGGTAAAATGTGCTACATGGAACTCAATGGTGAGAGAAGATTCATGCAATTCTTCTCTGTTCTGGTTCTCTTGCATCTCTTGCAAATGAATAGGATGAGACAGCAATATTTTGAAGTTTTTCTACCAAAATCATATTTCATATCGTTAGGCACTTCTGCTAAAGGAACTTGTCTTCATCTTTTTTACAGTAGATCTTAATTTACTTGCATCTGATATGTGAAATCTTGTTAAGAGATGTAGTGGCCTTACTAAATTTTATGGTCATTTGATGAAAAAACCCATCATGTTAAGTAGCATTGATCATCTAGCAGGTTATGGTTTAAGCGCAACTTCGGAATTAGATGGTTAGGATAACATTGATTTTGATTTCCTTGGAGGTTTTTCTTTTCAGTAATTGATATACCTTCAGATGCAAGTCTAGCTGATGCTGTTGAAACTTTATCCAAACACAAGATATTAAGTGCACCTGTCAGGAATGTGAATGCACCGGAAGATGCTAGCTGGATAGATAAGTACATTGGCATTGTAGAGTTTCCTGGAATTGCTGTATGGCTTCTACATCAGGTTTGAATAAAGTGCTCTTCTTTCTGCTGTCTTTATTGGTCATACTGAAATACCAAAATTCTTTTGTGCAAACTTCTCACTTAGTTGGAATGTAATCCTCAATTTTTTTTTTTTTGGTCTAAAGAGAAAACAAGCTTTTATATTAAAAGGTAAAAAAAGTTGCTATTTAGAGCATCATTTTGTTATATCAATCTTACTATTTGATAAAAAAATAATATTAATTGTTGAGGAATAGTTCTGAAATTTATCTCCTATTCTGGAATTTTGAGTAAATTCGTTAAACTCCTTAAGAAATCAGTGCCTATAGTCCAAGTAGTGCTACTAATGAGAATTAGTTCATTGAGTATTGTGGCTAATGATTGAATATGAAACTTCACCAACATTTAGCCTTTAAATATTCAGAGGCATACTTGTCTGTTTCCTTATTTATTAAGTTATGTTATGGTATGCAAAGTGCAAACATATTTTTTATCTCAAGGATAAAGTAGGCCTTGGCACTTTTCTCAATAGATAAAGAATTGAGATAGACAGGTGGGAACAGGTAACGTTTCTCTTAAAAAATTCCCTCAACTCTTCTAAATTATAGTTTGGCCATATTAAGTTCAAGTTTCTACGTCAGGTCATCATTAGGTACACCTGCCCTCTCAGGAGAGAGAGAAGCGAAATTATC